AACAACTATGGCTATTCACATAATGAATGTTCTCCAAGACTTACAAGAATTCATTTCACATTCAGGCATCAAATTTGTGCTCAAGCTCCTCTTAAGCCAAAAGATCTCTCTCGGAAGATTTGATCAAAAGATCAAGGTCTTCACATTTGTTTCCATAATATTAAAAGGTCTAATTTGGCTTTCATATCCCTCACCCCTGCTTTTCCAAATCAAAAATATGTACAAGGAAACAGCTGTTTTTCCCTCCCCTAGACTCTAGCCTACCTATTGTTTTTTCTTTTGCTAGTAGTAATTACATTGACTTAGTTTTTAATTTTTTAGATGCTCAAGCGACTGACTAGCTCACGTTTAGTAGGTATTTGAGCACTCAAGCCACATTCAGTATTTAGATTAGGAAAATAATAGATTCTGTATTACCGCAGATCCTGAGGTCTGTCCTTTCTTTTATACAGCTTCAGTGCATGGTTGTGAGGGAGAGAAGTACTGTTATCCACAGCTATAAGACAGGATGCAAGACATAAACCTTACTTTTTTGTCACTGGTCACATATAAAACCCAAGGCAGACCTAGAAAAAGGTGTGGAAGACAGATAGGAACATCAAGTTCAAAATATTTAGAGCTTATTAATACATGTGACATTACACCAGTGTTAACACTGGACAACACCCAAGATTGTTGACAGCACGTGCTTCACAACAAATCTGTCACACTGGTTACACTATTCACTTACAGGCATTGCTTGTTTTCCAAAATTAAGTGCTTAAATATTGTACAAATTGTGTTCAAAACATGCGAAAAGATTGTATTATAAAGTGTCATTTTAGCTAGATCCTTTGAGGCCTTTTGAAAACGTTGAAAGGTCATCATTTCATACTATTAAACTCAGATAGCCTTAAAACAACTAGCCTGATCATGTGGATATAACGCAGACTTCAGATGAGCTGTATTTCTGAGCTCTCTGAGTAATCACTGCTGGGCCCTTATGTGCAACTACGATGCTATCTTTGCCCAAAAGAAATATGGATCATACTAAAAACAAACATAGCTCAATAAGGCTGACTAACCAATTCATTTTGAGAGGAATAACTGACACAGACGAGGAAAGCCCAATTTCAAATTTTATATTTAATTACATACCATACACATACCAAAAAAATCTTTCGGTAGTGCAACATCATGACAGATTTACATACGCACGTACAAGCAACAAGTAGTTTAACATGACCTCTCCCACAACAATGAAATCTCAGCTCCAAACATGCAGTGATCCTCCTACAGTATGTGCAGACACAGCTATGCAAATATTTATGCAAATTTATTTACATAGCATGACATAAAACTCAGAAGGCTACTAAAGATAATTATGACTATTACTCCAACCTCGCTTCTCCTGATTGACAGGGCACAAGGTAGACTTTCCACTCTGTAGTAGCTGTAGTGCTAGGCCCAAGAAGGTATTGGCTCAGACACCTAACTTAAATACTCTGGCCTCCTGTGCAACGGCTAAACTGAGGATTTCATCCAGTAATGGCACAGATAGTCAGTTTGGGAATGGAGAAAAGGGGAGAAGGGAAGATAATTTCCCTGCAATTCAACTATGACGAATGAAATGCTGATCTACCCTATGCAGAGCAGTTAATACTATAAAGTTATGCAGCACCTCACTGGGGAGTTTTTATGCCAGTGCTTTAATGGTGTATCCCCAGTCAACACGGCCATGAAGCAAGGACCAGATTTATCTCAGTGACATCTCTGTATGCAAGAAGCATGCTCTCTCTGCTAGAGCTAACAATTTATTCCACAGCCCCTGGAAGATCTGATTCTTAATAAATATTTGACACTGCACAGGGACGGTGGTAGAAACTGTTAACTCTGAATATCTTCATCTGTGCGCACAGGACCTCTCACAGAAAATTATAATACATTAACATCGCTTTGGCTGAAAATAAGTTATTAAGAGTTTAGTTACACGTGCAAGCTATTCATATTTTCTTTTTTTGAGAAAGCTTAGGAGGAGATGACTAGTAGTCTCTATTAATTTACCAGATAAAAGGGTTCATGGACAATCATACACATTTGTAGCATGTTAATTTTGAAGTAATTAAATAGAATCAGTAAGATGGCTGTGTAAAGAGACACCTATTTATCCTGTTTGCTTCTGCTTGACAGAGAACTGGTTAAGAATTTTCACTATAAAAGGTTCTTCCTACAGAATAGACTTTTGAGGCTTTACAATTTTTGTTAGCATTGTTGGAAATTCTAAAAAAGCCTTCTAAGCTTTCACAAATGAAAACCGCATCTCTGCAAATTGTAATCCTTATAAACAAAGTTCTGGTGACCAATACTGAAAAACAAAAAAAAGGACGATGAACATGAAAGAAGTAATCTTCATGAACATCTTCCACAGGAACAGGGATAATGTCTCTGCCTCTGTATTTCTGAAATGGGGGGAGGGAAATGAGAAGAGAAGCTGCAAGGACTCCAGATTCAAAAATAAAATTAAATTAAATGATAACTTTAAGGTCAAGGAGTACAAATTAATACCAGGGGTCAATTGCGAAGGAGACTGTTGAAAGACGTAGAGCGCCCCTCGCCACAATTCTGTTCCTAATTAAAAGGATTTTTGGATGTATTCGTCAATCCTTAAATTAATTTAACATTTTTAAATGCGACCAAATCGTCATATCAAGTTGGATTTAGAAATTAACAAGTGAAATCTTTAGCCTGCACTCCTCAGGAGACTAAACTGGATAATCACAAAGATTTCTTTGGAGCCTTGTAAATCTACAAATCCTTATTAACTGTAGTAACCTCTTAATAAAATACTGCTACTATATAGGCATTTCCAGGACCCTATTAAATGAGAACTTCAGCAGCCCCATTAGGTGGACGTCATCATCGTGTCTACTCACGAACATATGTTCTGACATATCTGCCAACACCATCATTAAGGCAATACTTTGTTATATTGAGATTCTGAGTGCAGCATGATTTCTCAGACACTGAAATAATCACAAACGTATAAAAATTTAGACAGTTAATGTAAGAGATAGCAGTATTTCTTTAAGAAGAAAGATCAGGTAGACTACGTGGCAAAAAAAAAAAAAAGAGAGAGAAAGAGAGAGCGAGAGAGAGAGAGCGCGCGAGAAAAAGATAAACTACAGAGAATTCACAATTAGGTTTCAATCTCTAAAAGCTAAGCAGAGCCAGGTCACATTTAACTGTAACACCTCGACTTCCTCTTTTCAGAGTAAGATACAATGCTAACAAATGCATAATATCAAAGTCTAACTTCTCAATGTATTCTAAGAGACCAGCTACCAAAAAACATACATAGTGGAACAGAACAACTGCTAGCCAGCTAAGTATGCTCTTCCTCTTCCAGTTTAGAATCACACTGCAGACACAGTGCACAAATCCTACGCAATAAAGAATACTTAAAAACAACGTGCCAATGAATATTAGCAGTTATATTCCCCTGGCCCAGCCTTAGGCAGCCCCAGCCGGGCCTCTCGGTGGGTACTCCAAGACAGCTTAGTCAGCACACAGACAACAGAAGCAAAAGGAGCTTCGTGAATGTTACATTTACCGTTAACGTTGCATTTCCTCTCCCCTGTCACTGACCTGCTACGCCCAATCGCCTGCGAACGAGGGGGATTCAAAGCTTAACGCCTTAGGCAGTAAATATCTTTGTAACAAAAAAAAGAAAATGGTTTGTTTTGTGCAGATACAAGCCACAACAGGTCTCCAAGTTACCCGTTTTCGATACGGAAAAAAAGCTGACTCAAAGCATAGCTTCTTGCAACCCTACACCAGCGTCAAAGACCTCCACGAGCAGAACTGACAACAAAATTACAGTTTTCCACCAAACCCGCAGGCAGCAAAACCTTCAGCGCTTACCACCTTGTGGCTCGACCCGGTAAACGTTCCCTTCTCACCCACACTACGCTTCACCGCTTTGCAGTTAACTAGTCTCTTAAGCAGCAGGCACAGAAACTTTTCTCGGAGTTGCTCCGCGGGAGGAGACGGGCTGCGCGGGGGCCGGGGCGCCGCGGCA